TCTATTCCCCACATTGCTGCTTGGTTTCATGAAACCTGTCTGTCCAGTTGGTTTCCAGATGTTTGTGGGAGACTGGGAGGAGAGACAGCATAGTCACAAGCCCTATCTCATTAAAAGCTAGACTAAATTAACATACCACTTGCTACCAATAAAAAAAAAAAGATCTAATTAGCATGAGATGCTGAAGTTTGGTTTTAAGCTTTTAAGCTAAAGAAATACAAACTTTTTTGAATCTTGTTTGTCACTTTTCTGCTGTGATCTTTACCTCCCTGTCCAACTTCAGGCTTCTTATTGAGAGCTTAATTTAGCTATTAAGCATGTGGTGCCGTTCTGTTTGAGTAACTTCTGCACTTAGTGCAAATTGCAATTTGATCAATAAAGCTTTTCTGTTCTAAGTAATAACCAAATTAATTGTGTCTTCTGTTATCCTCTTCTCTGGTAGTTGGTAGTGTAACAAAAGCATTTACTTCAAATAACTTCTTGATCTTTTTGAATTTCAAAACTTGATAGAAGCTTATTTGTTTTGTATTGTCAATATACTGAAACCATCTTTATGCAGAGCTTGCTAGGTTGCAAATCCCATGGTCCCAATTGCTATCAATTTTTGGGTGCTTTAGATTATGTAAGAGTTAATTTTTTTTTAAGATGCACATTTATTTTGAATTTTTATAGAAGCTTTGTTGTATTTCTATGTTGCAAATTGGTTTTATTCCCAAAGAGCAAATAAAATAAAAAGTGATGCTTGCCTACTCTGGTGAGAACAGCATCCTTGCTTAAATGAGGAAAGAGCAAGATGCTTTTTGTTTGTGAACTCATGCTTTCTAATTCTTGGAACATCTTTTTTAGTAAATTCACTTTTGCTTCCAGTTTCTAACCCACTGTACTAATGTTAATATGAGTTAAAACAAAAAATTCTTATAACCTTTATTACAACATACGCAGGCTGAAATAGCACAAGGTCCAGCCTCAGATACATGAGAATCACTAGGGCTGAACAAGAGTAGTGATACAGATGGAGCTTGGTGAGACCTGACGGACTGGAGCACAGGTAGTGTCACCAGTCTGATGACCAGAAGAGTGTCTGTTTCTCTGCAGAAGCATGAATATCAGCATATGCTGGCTGCAGGAGAGGTGGCTGAAAGAATGTAATCAACAGTGGACAGAACCAGCCTTGGTGACTGTGATGCTTTTTATGTGCCTGTATGTCCTCAGAGGTAATTGTCTAACAGCTTTAAAAGACATCTAAAAGTCATGTTATTTTATTGCAATGATTTTCCTCGGGGATAAGAAACTGGAGCTTAAGAAATAGCTAGTGGTGATTTAGGAGTTAAGGTTTAGGTTGAGGAACAAGAACCAGTCTTTGACTTGATGGCAGCTTGCCATGCCTTTAGGAATTGGAGGGCCCCACCAGAACCAGTCTATCTTGAATGTTCTAGCCAGGCTTCTCCCTGTTTTTTGGAAGTGTGTTATCCTCACTGCAGTAAGTGCATAGTATCTTACTGAGGTGTGACTTCAAAATTGCTTCTTGTTGGCAGTTTGAAACATGGTTATGGGAGTATAATCCGAGTCCTGCTGTTAAAGGTTCCTGAAAAGGAAAAGAAGACATTGCAGATGACACCCTGTAGTGGCATGTAAATCATAATAGAAAGCTGGCTGCAAATGGGTGGCAGCAGAAGTGTTTGTGTTCACCACTGATACTGTATACAGGTGTAAGAGCATGTAACTCATATGTATGAGGACATAGCTCTGTGCATACAGATTTCTGTGGGCATTTTGGTAGACATCATGTCTCCCCATCCCATTGTTAAATACAGCTCTTTCGTTGTAATAAAGAGACTTCGGTACTCTTTTCAGCTCAGTTCCATATTGTCTTTTGCAATATTTCATGAATGAATTCCTAGTTCTGCTGCGTAAGAAAAAGGTGGCAGGTCAGAGTATTGCTGGCTACTCTGGTGCTGTGCTTGTTTAGCTTCTCTTGTCTGACATATTTCTTTATAAAACATAAATATAAAACCTGAGGCACACAAATCTGACTGCTACATATGTTGCACAGTGAATTTCATTTATCATTGCTTTCTGGTTGTTTTCTGTGACAAGATATCCAACACATTAATTCTGAAAGTGGAGTCCTATGGAGCCCCGTGTGTTTTATTTTGTTATGAAATCTCTCTTGACAGCTGATAGTCCAGCCCCTGAGCAGTTTTGTCTCTCTCTGAAACTTTCATCTGCTGTTCATTTGGCATTTGGTACTCTTTCTCAGTTAAATCTTGAATATGCTCCTTCTCACCCCTGCCTGCCTCTTTGTGTCTAATTACTCACTTTCCATGAAGAAATTTGCTTTTGGCTTGTAAGTTCAGGAACTATGTGCACTCTTGACTTGCCTGTTCTGTCAGCATCTCTTTTGGTGTCTCTTTTTCTTAATTTCTTCTGTGAGTTAGAATCAGGCCATGCCTTGTTTTATTCTGGCATTTTAAGGAAAATCATGTCCCTGTGTTGTTCTTACTAGTCAACATGCCTGAAGTTGGCTTTTGACTTCAAGAGTTGACAGAATGGTAGAGGTATTGAATATGAAACAAAATCGCAGTTGCAGAGGGAGAAGAGGCATTAGTATCTACGTACAAATTATAAATTAGACAACTGAAAAAACAGATTCCTAAACAGAAAGCTCCAAATGAAGCTTCTCCCACAATTACATACAAGAAGCGAATCCATAGGTAGATGAGTTTCACCAATCTGGATGTTGCATTTTTTTCCTTTCTTGCTAATATCCTTTTCTCTTACAACTGCAATGGGTATGCCTAAGCTTGTGAGTGGGTTCCCCCCTACGAAGCCACAGGTGTTCAGCAGTGGCAGTCATGCCTTGGGCAATCTCTAAAGCTAGTCTGCTTTCATCAACTGCTTTCCTTTTCACTCATGGCACTTCTCTTAACCTCCTATCTCTTAGACTCTAATTTTCAGCGTCACATCTCATGTCTGGTGTGCTGATTACAATCTTTTGAATTGCCTCTTCAGCATCATCATTACCTGTTCTTTTGTTGGTGTTTTTTTCTTCTTTTGTTTATTTGTTTGGGTTTGGGTTTTTCTTACGCTTGCTGCTGCAGCTGTAGTTGAGGCTTTGCTTACTTCCCTGGGCTGAAATAATTTGAATATCATCGTTAATCAGAAGTGCAAGTTACTTTCAGTTCAGCACTGAATTGTATTTGTTTGTTTGTCTGTTTGTTTTGGGTTTGTTTCGTTTCTCTCCCTCTCTTCCCTCCCTCCCCCCATTGTTTTGCCAAGGCATTAAACTCTGCAGTCTTTGAAGAGAAGACAAGGAACAGGCAGACATTAATTCAAATTATGGGCCAGAATTTATATTTCCCTTTCAGTTACTGTCGAAACCATTTTGTTTTGGATTTTGGAGGGTACGGTGGTTGGGGTGGGGTTTTTTTGGTCTTTTTTAAGACTGAATCATTAGATCTATGTACTGAGATATGAGGACCTTTTCTGTGGGCTCTCTCTCTGTTTGACATTGATAGAGGTTTTCCCCTGCAGTAAGGGGGCAATGAAGTGGGAATTATTCACTCAGCACCTCTACCCTTGCTCAGCTGGTGTTGATAAAGACATAAAATGGAATCAGCGATAAGTCACAATGATTTTGTCTTTTGTTTCTAGAAATAACAGTTGGCAGCAGAAACGAAAGAAATTTCCTTGTCTGTTTAGTCTCCATGGAGAATTCTATGCCAGAAATATAGATGCAAAAATGGTCTACAAGAAAATATGTTTAATTACAAGTACTTGTTTTGGGCTTAGCAAGGGAACATAAGAGATCACAGGAACTGTGTACAAGAAGGTTTTGAGTATCTGGGATGTGAGGCATTTGACTCCCGTTGTGGTATTGGTGGACATACTTTTATAAGTGAACTGGGCCTAATTTCTTCATTCATCTTCTTAAAGCTGAATTTTAACAGTAGCACTTGAGGCAACTGTAGAGCCATGGAATAGGTTTATATTTCAAGTGTCAGTTAACAGAGAGGGAGAATTGAAGTATACCTTTCTTTTGTAAATATCCATTAATGTGTTGTATCCTCCAACTGTGCTTTCTTATTCATGTGCTGAGGCTTTTTATGACCATTTACACTAGCTTGTCTGCAAGATAAGCAAGGAAATTATTGAAAACAAGTTTTAAAATTTAACCTGAGGTGTCCTTCCTCATTGCTCTGCTAATACTTTGCATGCTGACCTAGAAAAATCATAGTCCAAGTTAATAGGTACTGTAATTCAGTCTTCAACTGCATTAATTATTTTCTCATCTGCCTGTCAGTTGTTCTTAGTCCTGGTGAATTCGTCAAGTGGCCATGTTATGTAGGCTTTTCTCCTCTGCCAACTAGGCTTGTATCACCTCTTGTCTTCATGTGGGGATCTATGATGAGAAGGTTGGAAAGTGTTTAATAAGTAAAAACCTGTTGCATTGTTCTAAAACAAACTTAAAGCAGTATGTCTTACACTTTACTCTCGCATGGGAAAGACAGGAAAAGGTAGCAGTGGAGCTGTGTAGATTCCAGATACCCTGTATAAGACATTGGTGGTTGTGTGTTTTTTACAGTAGCATCTGAATTGTATGGTGTATAGTACTGTACCTCTGCACCTTCTCCATCACACCGCTTGCTGCTTCCTCTAATGATACAACGTCAATATTAAGGATATTTTTTTAGAGAGAGACAAAGATAAGGAAGAATGCAAGCTCTGTTATTATTTGTTCTGAAAGTGGTGCCCATACTTAACTAACACTTTGCTTTCAGGATTAGGTTTTAATCCTTGATATTCTAGAGGCTTTAAAAAATGTAGAATATTTTATAGACTAGCTATACTTAATATACTTAGGCAGTTATGAATGCATTATGTTCACATAATGCCTGTTCTTGGTGCTTTCTGTTTTTACGTAGTCTCTCAGAGATGCTGTATTTGTTTTACTTAAATGGAAAAAGACCTCTTAATTTCTCAAAAATTTTCTCTTTTTGCATCACAGAAACTACCTTAGAGCATGGACACCAGTAAGAAGACAGAACCCCCTTTATCTGTAGAAATGGTACAACAAAGAGCCAATCCTGATCGCAGTCCTTCAGCATCGATTTATGTTCCAGAGCAAGGTGGCTACAAAGAGAAATTTGTAAATGCCGTGGAAGATAAGTATAAATGTGAAAAATGTCACCTCATCTTATGCAATCCTAAACAGACTGAATGTGGGCACAGATTCTGTGAGACCTGCATGAATGCCTTGCTAAGGTATGTTTTTTGTTGTGATAGAATATGTTGATACCTTTAATTCTTGTGAACTGCTGAAAATAGTATGGACAGCATTGCTGTCTTAGGAATACATTAAGCTAGTGCCCTAGCTTGAAGCAGTCTTCTGCTTATTGCTTGCTTGATTTTTTTGTTATCCATATGCTGGTGCAAACATTTAGTGTTCTGCTCTGGGTCAGGATGACACAACTAAGCTTTCCATCAGCATTGTTGCTATGATGGTTAGAGTGGTTTAATACCATGTAGTGATGTACTGCATAAGAATTTCATTGCCTGTGGAGCCTAGACCGAGTAGCTATTTCACCTGGCTGCTGACATGACTAGTTTGGTATAGAATATACTTAGCAAATTGTGGCTGTGTGAGGAAGTGAGCCTGCAGAGGCTCCTTGGAATACATAACCTACCTGTGGACCAAGCCTTACAGTTGAGTGGTGGGACCCTTGGATAAATGAAACTGAGCTTCCTTTCCCCATAACCCTTCTAGCTCTGTGTGCTAGGGATTGTATGTTTTGTGGAGTCCAGAGGGGTCAGGAAGGCTTGCTTCTCTGTTCCTGGGATGTTTGGGCCAGAGTGTAAAGTGGGTGATTGAGTGTTACAGATGCAAAATGAACACTGAGGGATGCAGTCTTTCCTGGTCTAGGTAAGAAGAAAAGTGCAATCATTCAAGGAATATCTAGCTTTTAAGAAGTATCTGTGCATCAATAAGAGTATATATCTTTGCATCTCAGCTTTGTTGCATTGCTACTGATAACATTCAGCAGTGTGATTTCAAAACTTGGTCTGATGTTTGAAGACCATTCTGCAAGCTGGGGTAAATAAGCAGTTAATACTTCCATTTACTACTTGGAAAGCAGAGGTATAGAAGAGACTGAGCTCACTGGATGTTGCACACTGTGCTACTAACAGAGGATTTGACTTCAGAAGGTCTTGGTGATCTCCTGTTTACTTTTCGTAACCATCCTGACTCTCGGTATTAGTTTGTATTTCACTTGGAAATACTGAATTTTGATGTAAGTCAAGACTACATGCACCATAGCAAAAGAGATTGAAGGATATTACATTGCTGTGTCTCATGATAAAGAGTAGCCTCTTTACTGGGCAATTACAAGGGTCCATAGCTCACTAATCTACTCCTGTAGGTTTTGTGCTACAGCATGTCAAAACACCAACAAAAAAACCTCACCAGCTTTTCTTTCAATACATTTTCAGGTGAGCTATAATTTGTATTTAAGAAATGCAGTTGTTTCTGAATATATGTTTTTGGAAGACTCTTAGATGATTCATAACAATGATTGCAGAAAAGCAAACACCTGCCATGCCTGGATATGTGCAGATGGACAGAGCAGATCCTTAACAATCTAAGCAGTAACAATTCTGGCATTGCTGGAATCTGGGCAGTTTTTCTTCCCTGCTGTGAGACATGCACATGTGCTTATTATAGTGCAGCTGGAATATGTGTAATTTTACCTTCCTGACTTTCCAACCTGTCTGTTATTGAAAAGGACGCATTGGTGAGACCATCTACCACACTGCTCTTTCATTAGAGTTATTTCACTGTATTTAAGTGCTTTTTGCAAACAAGTCCTTTATGAAAATTTGCAGCTCCTTTTTTCTGAGAAATAAAAAGTGTGCCATAAAAGTGGAAGGAAAATAAGTTTACATTGCTTCTGTATTTGGCACAAAAAATGTCCATTCTGTGTTGATATCCTGCTGCACACACACTCACTGATTATATGCTAGCAGCTTCTGTTGCAGGGTTATTTGAGGACAAAGAATTGAGAGACAGTGTCGATAACTCAGTAAAGATGTCTGCTTCAGTATGCAGCAGTAGTTTAAAAGAGCAAATGGCATGCTTGGGTGAATTCAGTAAGAGGGAGGAAAGAGTGACTTTGTACTAAACACTCTACGCCCTCAAGTAGATTAGTTCCTTCCTCCCCCCTTTTTTTTATAAAGAAAAATATTGCAGATATTAGAGGTACAATGTCGTTAAGATGCTCAGAAATCTGATGAGACAGAATGGTCAGTGCAAGGAGCAGAAGCCACTGAGAAAATGGTTTGAAATAACCATACTGATTATATAATATAATCAAACTTACTCAGCCTTTGACTGTGATTTGCACTGCTGCTAGAAGCCTCATCTGATGTACCCTGTCAATGAGTTGCTTTATGAAAGAATTTACCTAGCTTTTACCTAGTGCTTTTCATCCACAGATCTTGGTGCTTTACAAGGGAGATCAGTGTAGCTACCCCTGTTTTACATGGAGGAAAGCAGCTAAAAAGGAATTGACATCTATCAGGTCAGAGACAGAAGCAGCTGTAGGAACCCAGGTTTCCTATGCTCCAGTTCAGTTTCTGTTAATAGACTGCTCTGTTTTCAACCTACCTGCTTAGTTTAGTTTAGTAATTAGATTACCAAGACAGCTACAGGGCAATAGTTCAGATAAAGGAGGGATCAAGGATCTGTAGCAGTTCCTAAAACCAGAGCAGACTTGAAGGATGTGGACATAAGTACTTCTATCTTTTTTTTTTTTTTTTAAATTTTTTTTCGCCTACCATGAAAAAAAATTTATAATTGATTGTCAGAGAAAGTAAAGTTTAATTAGGTGTTGTTTGAAAAAAGACTGGATAATTGAAAAGACAGTATTTTGCCTGTTTGCACAGATAGATTGAGAAGTGATGAAAATTGTGGATTGGGCACAGGCTGTAAAATAGGGAATTAATTATTAAGCCCTGAAGAAAACCACTGCATAGCTGGCTGGAGGCATTGTGGTGGTCTTATTTTCTTAAGAATGCCAGATACTGCCCACTGAAAACTCAGTGTTTATGTTATCTCATTGTAATGAACTATATCCACTTTAATGATTATAAAATACATTTAATAATCATAACTAAGTGCCTCGTAAAGAGAAATCTTTGTACTACAGAAATTCAGATGAGTTAAAATAGCTTTTCTGTTTTCTTTTCTCTTCAGTTCTTCTAGTCCAAAATGTACAGCGTGTCAAGAAAGCATAGTAAAAGATAAGGTATTGTTAAAATTGTTTGTTATTCAAGAGTATTGAATTGTATGGTGTGCATAAGATGTGTTACTGCTTTGTGGTAATTATTTTGTAAGCCTACTAAGCAACCTAAGGAAGACAGTTATGTTATAAAACCTAAACCATGTGTTTTATGTAGCAAGACAGATCATTTTTACTGTTAACCACATGGTAGAAAACATGTCAGCTTCAACCCTAATGGTCCAGCCAGGTGTCACATCTTGTTTTCATAGTTGGAAGCTACAGCAACACATTGCAGTTGTTTTCCCATCAGCTGGGAGGATGGTAAGAAATACTGCGTTTCCTGTAGATGCACAGATGTGACAGATCTAGGCAAACCTTACTCCTGATTTGGCTCCAGTGTCTACTGTTTAACTGATTTGTTTTTACAGTGTGTTGTTCTGTGAACCACACTGGAACAACAACAGTGTAGAGTTGCAGTAGCTGTAATAGAATCAGATTCTTCTTATATGGATAAGTTACTTTGCTGATACCCTCTTCAGTGTTTTTCACAGCAAAACTTGGGTTGATTTTGAAAGGTTGAGGGTAGAGAAAATTCTTTTTGACTTAGTGCATGATTTATGCAGTTTTTACATTAGATTTTTCTGAAGTGTTTAGTAAATTCTGTGTGTTGGTAGTCTTTCCTGCCTAAGTAAATACTTGTAATAGTAACAGTTTTCGATAAAAGATTAGTAAGTACATTAATCTCTCCTTAATTCGAAATAGTTCTCTGAACAGTACTCAGTATAATTCAGTTTTGACACGGATGGAGTCTTGTGGTTTACGCCCAGCCGGTAACTCACCATACAGCCACTCACTCACCCCTCTTTCTTTCCCCTGTCCTTCTGGGCGGCATGTGGAGGAGAATTGAAAGAATGTAAAACCCACAGGTTGAGATAAGAACAATCCAAAACGTAAAGTATAATATAAAACTACAAATAATAATTGTAAGGGAAATAACAAGGGAAGAGAATCTAAAACTAAAAGGGGAAAGGAAAGAAAACCAAGCCAAACCAATAAACACAATTGATGCACAGTAGAATTGCTCACTACCAGCAGACCAATACCCAGCCCGACCCGAGCAGCGATCTGCTCTTCCAGGTAACTCACCCCCAGTTTATATACTGGGCATGATGTTCTGTGTAGTTTGGGTCAGGTGTCCTGTCCCTGCTCCTTCCTGTCTTCTTGTTCCCCTCCTGCTGGCAGAGCATGAGAGGCTGTAAAGCCCTTAATCAGCATAAGTACTACTTAGCAACAGCTAAAACATCGGTGTGTTATCAGCATTGTTCTCATCCTAAAGCCAAAACACAGCAATGCACCAGCTACCAACTGCTGCAGCAGGATTAAAAGTAACTGTTGCAGCTGAAGCCAGGACAGGTCTCTAGGAGCTCCCACCAGTAATCATGATGTCTGTTTTTTTGTTGTTGGTTTTTTTTTTTTTTTTTTTTTTAATCCTTTTAACTCTGACTTTCTAACTCCTAGTATACCTAAATACATACATTTGTTAAGAAACTTCAGATCTCTCTAAAACAGGAGGAGGACAAGAAGAGCAATGTACATTAAAAACCTGTTAGACTAATTATGCAAGTTATTTTCATGAAACTGGAAACCTCTCTTTTCCCAGAGAATGCTGATATCTAAATCACTGAAGAGCTTTCAGATAGTCTTGGAAAAACTGTTTAAAAATTGTCTTCTTACCTTAACTTCAGTCAGCAAAACTGTGCCTAGTAACCCTGTGAACTACTTTGCAAAAAATACTACAGTACTGACAACTCATTATTCAAATGAGATCTGTTGATTCATTAAACTTCACATGTGCATCTGGAAAGTAAACAAATCGGTGACCTGTGTCAGATGAGAATGGTTGCAGTGTTTCCTTTTTCACTGGTACTGGGGATAGATTCATAGTCACTGTAGACAGATCTGGTCATCATAATTCTTTGTTGCTGTTAAAAGTTTGTCTGCAGAACTGTTCTGTAATTATAACAACCCTGCAGTGTATGTAGTATCACAGAAATCCATTTGTTAGAGGTTGGACTTGGTTCTTTGGTGTTTCTTGAAAGCCATTGCAAAATAACTGGAAGTTTATATCCCTTAGGTTTGGACTTCAAAATAGTAGCAATGCTCTTCAGTCTTTATCTCCAGTTACTGCCTTTAGCAGTGGGGCTTCTTGAGAGCGTAGTTGTGTTGTCTCTTTATCTCTTATGGGCTATCACCCGTAAAAAGGGAAAAATCCAAACTCCAAGCTCTCTGTTTCTAACTTCTTGCAGTTCTGTTATACACCTCCCCCCACCTCCCCTGCCCACCCCCCCCAAAAAAAAAAAAAAGAAAAATTAAAAAAAAGCTGGAAAAGCTTATAAACATTAAAATGGAGAAATAGGTAAAGCTTGCAGATCTGTGAAATAACAGACTGGACGAGGTTTAAGACCTTAAAAAGTGTCTTTCATTATGTGTTACCACTGACGTGCAAGTAGGAGTTCCAACTAACCAGTCTAGTCATTGTGGGACTGCCTTCCATGAAATCCTTTCTGTCCGAACCACTGTTCTTTGGCTCTTTTTTGCCTTATAGTATTGTGCCTAATGCACCAGCTTCCCAAACAATGTGAAGTTCCAGCTTATGCAGGCTGTTTCTTGGCAAGCAAATAGTAAAAAATTTAGTCCTTTTTTCTGCCTTTTCCTTTATTGTATTTATCGTAAAACAGTAGTTGTCCAAATATTCTCTTCCACTGGGTTACTTCATGGTGGAGGAATCTGTGATGTTCATGATCAAGAAAAATGGAATGGTAAGATTTTATTTCTGACACATAAAGCTAGAATTAAATGGCACTGCTGTAGCCAAATTGTATGGCTTCTATGTTATTTCAACTTGCATATTCTTGAGTGGCTTTAAATTTCTAAAATGAAGTAATTTTTAATTTTTCAGGTATTTAAAGATAATTGTTGCAGGAGAGAATTACTTGCCCTTCAAATATACTGCAGAAATGAAAACAAGGGCTGTAAGGAACAACTATCTTTGGGTCAATTACTGGTGAGTAGTTTAACATAGTCATAAACTTCCTTGTCAGTTAGAGAATGAGAAAAAATCTTGCAAATTAAAACTGAAGTCCTTTTCTTGACTTACTTTGCTAATTTGTTTATAAATTTCAAAATTTATAGATGTCAGAATAGTTAAACTATTTTAAAACTCAACTTCTTTATGAGCTATAAGGAATTGTAGTAAAGAAAGATCATGTTCTTGTGTGACACTAAAGCTTGACAATGTAAATGTATGAAGCATATGAGAACTGGAGGGAGAGCTAAAATTGGGGAAAAACGTGTACTTCACAAATGTGAGACATTTTTATTCCTTTTTGATGTGTTTTTATTTACTAGTCTTAATCCTCTCAGGAAAGTGGTGGTTTATGTGTGGAGTTAAACCTTTGGCTTCTCTAGACTTGCACAAAATAACCTGTAGCTTTATTTCATGAAGGTGTAACAGCAGAAATCCAGTAATTTAACAGTTGTAAGGTATGACTACACAGCAGTTTGGAGTGAGATGTGAAGGTGCTTGCTTTGAATGAGCAAGCTCAGGTACTTAAACAGCTGAAAGCAACATCTATGTTTATGTGCAATAATATACCTTGAAAAAGAACGCTTACCTTTTGTTTAAATAGCCTGTGTGGAAGGCTGTGTTAGAATGCTGTTAGTAAAAAAGTAGTTTGTGTACATCTATAATACAGTGAAATCTGCTGTCTAGGTGAAGGGAGTGTAAAGTCAGAAGCGTATTCCTGAGTAGATCTGTTGGTATTTGTTCTTGCACAATATATTTCACAAAGTAACTTTGCTTTCATTGGTTCTGAAGTTATTTAATGTGGGATGTCTTCGAAGGACAGAAGACATGCACAAAACTTAGTTGGCTTGACTAACCTTTTTGATCTTTCAGATGCATTTGAAAACTGATTGTCAGTTTGAAGAACTTTCATGTCCTCGTGCTGATTGCAAAGAAAAAATACTGAGAAAAGATTTGCCAGACCATGTAGAGAAGACCTGTAAATACCGGGAGACAACCTGTAAATACTGTAAAAGCCAAGTCCCAATGATTATGTTGCAGGTATGGTATTTTCTTGTGTATATAGACCAAAACACCGTATATTAATGTGGGATAATAACTCTTCTTGTGCTTCTGTGTAGCTGCCAATAGAGCCTTGGCCTGTCAGCCATGATTAGTAAGTCAAAAAAATAGGCTGACTTTCAAAACATGCATTTTTCTGTGAAAACAGTGCTGTATTGAGTGGGAAGCACTTCTTGTTTTGGTTTTGGTTTTTTTTTTGTCCTGTTCAGATACTGTGTTTTAAAAAAATAAATCAAATCCACTGCATTATATTGACACTAAAGTAATTTTTGCTATGCTTTTTTATTTTGCATAAATGGATATGATAAATGCAACTACCATGATAACAATTAAATATTGTGCAGGAAAAGCACAAGCATAGCAATTGACTGGTAAAATAGCATCTTTCTATATAATCCTTCTTGGGTGCTTACTCTATGATCTGTTATGAGAGGAAAGGAGGAAATACTGTAAAAACAAATTTGTGTCATAGCATAACCAGCAATGGTACCTGACAGGCCTAGACAGAGTTACTGCTGTTCTTGGCATATGAGTGGGTTTTCTGACAAGCAGCATGCTGTGAGTTAGTAGTATAAGGCACAGGTTGAAAAAGTCATACTTACTTTACATATAGAATTGTAACTTGACTGTATTTGCGTTATTTCTGTGAACTGTGTTATTTCACATTGAACTGAATTACGCTGAATCTCTCCTGCTGTAATCTTAAACCTTTGAAAAGAATGCTGTTTATATAGTTTCCATAGTTTGACAGTCTTGGATTTTGGGCCTTTTCAGTATAGTAAGGGGGATGAGAATTTAATTTTCATTTGTGTTTTTGTATTCTGTTTGTTAGATGAAGTCTCACAATGATAAAGAACCATTCTTTGCTCAGAGATGTTGTTGCAAAAAGGTATAGGTAGAATCACACCAAGTTCTGATTTAGATCTGGCTTTCAGTTATTCAAGTGTATACTTGCAAGGGCTAGTACTTTAATTATTGTGCGTTTACCTAGTGTAATGTGTCTGAGATGTGAAAACACACATTAAAAAATCAGCATTACACTGTGTTTATTCTTGCACATTCTGATACAGAGGTGAAACTGTTTCTCTAGGTTATGAGTGCTGTTCTCCCAGAATTTTCTTTAGGCTGGGAACTGATGTGAGGCAATGAGTGACATTAAAGAATGTGTAGTGTCTTAACAGACAAAATCAGTGAGTAGTAAATATGTCTGGTTATACAAACTGGATTTCCGTATCTAAGCAACCTACAGGTTCTTTGTAGCAGTTTCTTTTTCCAGGAGCAACGTAGCTAAACTTTTCAGAGTCTTGAAATCCTTCTTAGGTTTTGAGGAACATAGAACTCTGTTTAAGAGCTTTCTCTTTTTATAAGATGTTGATGGATTTTACATTTGTAAAATCTTTGAACTAGTGGTAGCTTTCAGGATATTTAGAAGCTGAGACAGCTTTAGTCTATCAGATTCTTAATTCACAGGGAAACCTAATTTAGGCATTCACATTGGAAACAAGAATGGGATATTACTCTGAAGTATAGAAAAGACTGTATGTAAATAAAGTAACTGTTCTCCAAAATCCCAAGTAGTGGAATTCTGGGTTGCTTTAAGAGGTAATAGAATTGGCTTATACAGGGAGCCAGAGATTTGTTAAAATGTAGTTTTATGTTGAGATGTCACTGTTTTGATTGTATTAAAGTTGGTACCACTATTCACCTGCCCTTAAAAGTTCTTGACAAATCTCCATTTGTAAGTCAGAACATTTCCAAGCAGTGTTATGTGTTCTCATATATCATTGGCTTTTATGTTTCAGTACACAGAAAAAGCACAGTTTTGCTTCCATGCTGCATTAAGGGTGCAGAAAGCTCTGCAATTAGAAAATCAGCAATTGGCTGCTATTTTTAATTTTTTTTCCTAGATTTTTAAAATTTCAGTTACTATAGAAATACAGATTTTTCTTGTTGTGGCCTCATAAAATGTTACCTTGTACTTTGGTAATGAGAATCAAAAACTGAATAAGACTGTAAGTTTTCATGAAAGGCTTCTATTGACTTCTCATTTGAGTTCTGTCACCCAGAGCTTGAGTTCATCTCTAGCCTAAAATTTTCTCTAATGTACTAATAACTAAAGCAGGCCTCAGTGACTTGAACTGAAAATGGGGATAGAGGGAGCGTACTGAGAAAAAAGGTATGCAAATGGAAACAAAAATAATTTTACCGGAGTATGCATGGTTCATGTCTTCGTAGAATCCCATGACCCATGGGGTAGGAAATCCCCGTTGTTGGAGGCAGACTCTTTAGTTAGCATTAGTACATGGAGTTTTAGATTGCGTTTGTGTTGCCTGCACTGTCACAAGGTGTTAACTTCTTAATTTCTTTTCTTTTGTTTACATCATCTCAAAAGTTGGTTGTGTTTTTTTCCATCCTATACTTCTAGCAGATAGAAGATGGTGTGTTCTTAGATCAGAAATTAGTAGCCTGATATGCTTCTGAATTACTGTATTTTTCATAGAATCATGGAATGGTTTGGGTTGGAAAAGACCCTTAAAAATCAT